TAAATAAACATGATTTTTTTTTTTTTGTTAACATAGAAATATAAAATTGTTATAATTACTTTTACAAAAATAAAAAATTTGAAAAATTCAGTAATACGAGTTTTAAACAAAATTAATAGAGTATAGGGCAAGTAATCTTTCATTTCATTATCTAAAGAAATATATTCTTCAGTTATTTTAACAATTTGTTTCAAATCTAATTTTTTAAAAGTACCTAACTGATATACAGTTTTCAATTCAGTCTTTGGAATTGTCCATCTATTAAGTTCTTCTAAATTTGTAGGAATATCATATTTTTGTTTAATACTATTTTTAACAGTCTTCTTGTTTTTCTAAATTAAATTTATTTAAATTTAAGAGTGGTTGTTGGGATAAGATTCAGTAATTACAAGTAAACTCATGGATAGAGACATAGACTAATTAAGAAAATTAAACAAAAGAAATACACTAGTGAGTTATATCCGAGTCCACCACCTTTCCTTGGTGCATGTATGATAAAAACATTAGCATTTGAACCATGACACAAGTGGCAAATACTATTGAAACAGGATGGCTATACTTTGCCGCTAGGAGATGTTGTTACATTCGGCAATTGTGTTGAAGCATCCAATATGTTGCACAGTACCCGCCCTGACATTTGTTTTGAAGTCAACAAGTTCTGTCAGTTCATACACCAGCCCCCTACCGTCCACTTTCAAGCTCTCAAGGGAGTGATTCGATACTTGCATGATACTATAGATTGTGGACTTCTTTTGCAATCAATGTCATCATATACTCTATCTTCCTTCACTAAAACGGGTTGGGTGGGTTGTCCTGATGATCGTCGGTCTGCCACAAGTTTTCTTATTCATCTAGGTCTCGACTTAATCTCCTAGACTTCTCGCAAGCAACCTACTGTAACTCGTTCTTCCAATGAGGCTTAATTTTATTCGATTGTAAAATGTGTGTTTGGGGCTATATTGGTTATGTCATCTTGTATCTAAGCATGGCACTCGTTTGCTTGTGATGACGTCAAAATCTGCATAGTGCTTTAAGATGGCCGTTAAGCAAGAATTAGGGTTTAGAAAGAGTAGAAAAATAGGGAGAATAATATTATTGTGTTGCGTAGGTACAACTTATATATCCTTTGTTCTAAATAGGGGAGAGATCACCCTTTTTATAGGGGTGGATTACATAATTAAGGTGGTTTCTAGTTGGAGTATATTTACTAATAATAGGTAATTTACAATAAGGCGGTAGCTTAGCTTTCAAGTAATCTAATCCTAAACCCTAATAGGCTAAGGTTTAATTCAGACTTTTCAAGTGCCCCTAGTAAGCTAGACTTGATGAGAAAATATGGGTTGCTATGAGTATAGATGTCTTCTCGAATTTCATCATGATGCCCTACTTCTCGAGCTTTTTGTTCTCAGGTGTATACCTATGAAAGATAAAACATATAGATATATTCAAGAATGATGTTCTCGTATTAGTTCATATATGCCTCTCGTTCAAGTCTTTCGGTTCCTTTCGATTGCGGGGTGGTCCCTGGTGCCTGATTCGAAGGGTGGTCCATATATTCTCTTATTTGAAGGTGAGAAGCATATACTCTCTTATTCGAAGGTGAGAAGCTTATATGCCTAATTCAAAGGATGGCGCCTATACGCCTTATTTGAAGGATGATGCCAATATTTCCTTATTTGAAGGGAGGAACCCTATGTTTTGATCCTCGAGATGGCCGGCCTCGGGGTGTGCAGTGGATGTGTGATATGCAATAATGACATGCAACAATAACATACTTGTGAACAATATCAGCAATAATGGAGTTACATAGATAGTACTTGAATTAATGAAGTTATAAATATTATGAAGTACCTTTTGATTCAAGAAGGTTTATGTGTTATCTCAAATCCAAAAATGTAGTATTTGACTAGTTGAAATAAAGATACGTCTTCTTGAATACTCTGAGTAGTAGTATGATTCTCGAGATAAATCTTCTCGAATATTCCGAGTAATAGTATGAGGGTTGCTGCCTTTTCGAGGAAATTTACCTATTGAACTTCTACTTGCCAAGCCTCGTTGCCCTTTACGTTGAAGTTATGAGGACCTACATAAAAGATTATGAAACTATTAGGGTTAATCAATCGTAAGAGAAAAATATAGGGGCTAAAATACAAATTTCAGAAATTGGTTGGAATTCTTCTTGGTTGATTATCCTCCTACTTGTTGGCTTATGCGCCGGCTATAGAACATCGAGAAGTAGGTCGACAAGAGATTTGACGATCAAGTTGTCGATATGATGAAGCTGATGGAAAAGTCGACCAAAAGTCAATTAACGACCTCGAGGGTGGCTTTGTAGGTCATGGTTGCTTCCGTCTTTCTCGGCAGCCTTTTGTTTCCAACATTGCATGTATCGACAGTGGAAACAACATGATAAAGTTGCAAATCAAATCATTTTCGTGATCACCAGAAAGCTCAAAAAAAGTTTTGGCATCTTTTTAAGAAATTTATTTGGTTGTGAAAACCAAACAAATCGATCCCCACATCGGCACCACTTGACAAAGTCAAAATCTACATGGTGCTTTAAGATGGTCATTAAGCAAGAATTAGGGTTTAGAAAGAGTAGAAAAATAGAGAGAATAATATTATTGTGTTGCATAAGTACAACTTGTATATCACTTGTCCCAAATAGGGGAGAGATAACCCCTTTATATAGGGGTGAATTATATAATCAAGGTGGTTTCTAGTTGGAGTATATTTACTAATAACAAGTAATTTACAATAAGGCGGTTACTTAACTTTCAAGTAACCTAAGCCTAATAGGTTAGGGTTTAATTTGGACTCTTCAGCGTGTGCCACCCAGAGTTAGGTGCAACAACAATGTTGTGATCTTCTTAGCCTCTAATCATGCTTACATTCTGCATCATGTTGAGGTTTATTTTCACTTTATTCGTCATCACATCAACCGGTGCTTTGTGTCTGTTCGATCTATATTCACTGCTGATCGGCTTGCTAATATTATTACAAAGGTTGTGGCTAAACATATATTTCACTAGTTCTGCGACAAACTTCGACTTTTCTCAATACCATAGTCAGTTTGAAGAGGCATGTCATAGTTATCTCTTTGTGATATAATTGTATAGTGACTGATCTCTTGTACTTATCATCACTTCTACTCCTCTATGTAGGTAATACTGTAAACTCCATTGAATCGATGTCATCTAATCTGACCATTATTAATTATCGTAGTAGAGTTACAATCCATCAAGTTAAAGAGTTTTTCAAACAAATTCAGCTTGAAGTCTTCTAAACACAGTTTGAACATGACGATTTCCCAAATAGAAGGCTATATAATTATTAAGATCCATAGTAAAACTAAATATGATCCAACAAAATATTTTATGTAATTCATTTTTTCTTTTGTTTTTGGTGACTGCTAGGTGTCTGCCTCGACAACAATAATTGATCATCTCGTTGAGTTTTTTTTTTTTTGGTGAAAAGGTAAATTATATTGAGTTTAACCAAAACCATGTTTACATCATTAACAGTACAGTTTTTCCAATCTGTTATGTTACATAAACCTTACTGACATCAGCTCTAAGAAAAAAAAATGATGAACAATTAGACTTTTAAATAATCTCAAAGATAGCTTCCACTGTTCCTGCTTAAAGATTCTTTGATTTTGTTCAATCCACATATGGTAAATAAAAAGTTGCCATGATTGTAAAAAATATATATCTTTTTAGTTTAGTGCGTCTCCAGACTAACATAAAATTAGTCTTCCATTGATCTTTCCTTAGAGACATTTGATCAATTTACAACCAATTCTCAATCAATGCTATCAACTGTCCAGAAAAGCCACATTCAAAGTAAAGGTGAATATCTGATTTTGCACCTTGTAGGCATAATGTAAGGCCTCCATTTTAATTAATTATTTTTGGGTTAAAAATAATTAAATTAATTAATTAATTAAAATTAGCAACTATTATTTACTCGTAAGACCCTTGGTGATTTGGGTTTGTTCCCCTTATTGGACCTATTTGCAAAGATTGAAAAGATAAAAGGGATCCAGTGACCGGTATAAAATTGAAGGGATAGGAATTTATTAATAAAAGTATAAGGGTCCACCATGTGCGAAGGCTTCTCCGATCCTTCCGATGTAACTAGTACGCTCATGATGGTGAGAAGGATGAAGAAAAGGGGAAAGGCAATAGCAGTGGAAGAGGAACAGCCAACGGAGGAACGAATTCAATAAGTAGCAGCAAATAGCAGTTGCTCATTGGATGTGGAGAGTAACCAAGTAACCCTAATTCAACGCCAATTTCAATTGATAAGCAAGCTTTGCTCTTAGAAGAGATATGTAAACAGAAGGTGATTAATATAGGAGAATCATCATGCATCAAAATTGAATGAGGACAGCAAAAGTAAGTTGGAACCTAGGGTTAGCTTAGTTTGGGAGAAATTTGATCCAGCTAAGATGCAGGGTATGAATAGGGAATTGGCATATATAGCACTAGTTATGTCTCAGGAAAAACAAGTTGCTAAGGTCATAAAGAGGAAATCCAATAAACCAAAGACTATTCGAGACTTTCTCTGATATGCTACACTATGGGTACCAACCCACCGTTCTTTGTGGTTAATGGGTACCTTCGACGTATTTGGGGGAAATATGGAATTGATAAGGTACTTCTAATGGACAATGGGGTGTATGTGGTAGATTCAACTCTCTGACAGCCAAGGATGAAATTATTAGATAGAACGTCTTCCACTTTGATAACATGCCCCTGATTGTTAAGGAGTGGTCAGTTGAGAAAGGATTTCAGATTCGGGATGTCAATTAAGAAAGTCCCAATATGGATCCAGCTTCCAAAACTCCAATTGAAATACTGGAACGCAAAACTCCAATTAAGCCGTATCACGAGTACCATTGGTAGGCCAATTGAGATGGATGAAATGAAAACTTTGAGGAATCAAGCTAGCGTTGTTGCTAGAGTTTTTGTGGAAATGGAGATCTCGGAAAAAAAATGCCTACTGAGATATGGTTTGAAGATGAATATGGAGTAGTGCAGGAGCAAATGGTGAAATATGAATGGCAACCTGTTCAGTTTCAACAATGTAAAGGATATGGACATGAGCTCACACAATGCAGGAAGCCTATAATGAAGGATCGGCAACCAAAACAAAAGCAAATTCGGAAACAACAAATGTGCCCCGAAGAGGTAGAAGTAAGTAAGAGACCTGAGGCCGAAGGGAATATTTCAGTGGCAATTCAGGTGAATGAAAAGCAAATCTCAAGAACAATTACCCAGCAAAAGGATAAGGAACAAGTTGGTGGGAAAATTACCAAGCAAGGAGAAATTATCAATGGAAAGGGGAAACCAAGTGTTAACATGGAAGGATAATAGAGTTGTGGAGACTAAATAGAGTGACGAACAAAGGTTGATAGTGCGGATAGAGATCAGGGGTACTAGTAACCTCAGTATGGGGTCTAGTATCCATGAATAATCTCCTATGCTGGAATGTAAGGGGGGCTAACAACCCCATGAAACATTGAGAGATAGGTAATTATCTCTCTGTTAATAAGGCCGGTATTGTTGGAATATTGAAGACTAAGCTGAATGAAACCAAAGTAGAGGAACTAATGAAAGGGAAGTGGCACAAGTACGACTTTATAAGTAATTATAGTAGCACAAGGAAAGGAAGGATTCTAATATTGTGGCAGAAAGGTGACTACAAAATCAGTAATGTACAAGTGGTTGAACAAGTGATACAATGCACAGTTCAGGAGATAGCTAAGAAAAGGGAACTCGAACTAACTGTAGTATATGTAGCACATCAGGATCAAGACAGATCTAATTTGTGGGGTGACTTATTAGCAAAAGATGGAAAAATCTCAAAACTTGGGTTGGTTATAGGAAATTTTAACTACATTCTTGAAATAGAAGAGAAAGTGGGAGGTACAAACAGCCTTAGTCAAGACTCCGAAATGTTTAAAATGGTCATAGACTCCGAAATTTTTATTCAGAAATTCTGAGTGATTTGTGATAGTTTATAGCTTATAGCGAGTGATCACGTATACAGAGGTAACCTCTACGAATAGGTGATATCGCTTTTGGAGAATCTTTTAGAGCTATAACTTGGTTGATATGGCTTTTGAAATTTAATTTGTCACTTTAACTCCAGAATTTTGTAGTGTTATCATATCACGACAATTTAAATTAAGTGGGTGGCTTTTTTATCCTTGTTCTTTGTGGATTGAGTTTTTTCTCTTTTGGAGTATCAATCATACGCCATATATTCCAGATAGCTCATTAATTATAGCATCCAAAAATATTTATACATGGGTATTTTCGGAGTTGATAATTAAGAAAGGTTGCTCCACATTTTTGGAGTTTTAGCACTGGTCTAAGGTAAAGGAATCTATACCCAAACTTGTATACAGATGCCTTTGTTGTCAGAATATCAAAAAAGCCTTGTTCTTTTTGTTTCCAAACAGAAGCTTGGACACAATATCGTTGTGATTCACTTACTCGTGGATTCTTGACACCTTATCGTAATGTGGATATTAGTTGTCAGACTTTCAATCTGGTGGGTCTGCAAGATCAAAAGAAGAAAAATTCAATCAAATGCATGCTCAAAATAAGAAATGTAATTGAACAAATGACGTGTTAAAAGACATTTTTCCTATATTAAAGACAATTTCACCATATCCATTTTCCACCCAAAGAAATATTGTCATTTTGTGTACGGCTATCTACAACTATCTTTGCAAAATTTGAGCAACAGATTCTTGGTTCGAAGATTCAAAAATAAAAATATGATATTGGGCAACAATCAAGAATCGGAAAGTGGATTTTCAATAGGAGAAAATAGACAAACTAATTGAGAATTTATGATTAATTTGCGTAAAATATTTAAAATTAATTTTTGAGAGAAAAAAATAAATTTATATTTTTGTTTGACTCATGATATTTTATTATAACTTTATTTATTTATGCCTTTTAATTTATATTGATTATTATTTTTTAACAATTTAGGTCGTATAATAAATAAAATATATTTAAATTGACATATAGGGATATATCAGTAAATTATTTCACATTCAGACTTTAGTCTCGCAATGTTATCAAACGATTTAAATCAATTCAGTATTCAGATTCAGACATTTCTAATTACCTCATTCAGTGATTCAGACTCAATCACTTATTTGATTTAGTTTTCAGTTTTCATACTTCAGACTTCAGTTTAGATTTAGTTTTATCAAATGGCCGTATGTTTGTTTTAAAACTAAGAGAGGAAGTTGGGCATGTTTGATTTTGGGCCGAAATTAATAGAAGGCCATTCAAATTCTTTTACTTTGCCCTTGCATCTAAACTTGTGGGCTATGTAGTTTAGACTAGGCGTTTGGACCGAAATTGAGTTTCAGCATGCCTAAATGGTTTAGGGGGTTAGATTAGATTAATGGGTTAGAGGGTTTATGGACTAGACTTGAATGAAACACTAGTATTTTTTTTTTCCATACTACTAAGTTTAAATAAAAGTAACGGAAAAAAAATTAACGGCTTGTTTGAACAATGGTTTGTTTTAGTTTTTTTATTTGAGTTTGAGATGTGATTCAAAATGTGGTTTGAGAGAAAATTTAAAAAATTGTTTGAGTAGTATTTTAAATAAAATAAAATAATAATAATACAAAACAATGTTGGCCAAACAAGCCATATTGAAAACACTTTCTTGGCAAAATATATAAATATCCATAAACTAGCAAGTATGATCATAGCTTTGTTTTATTCAAAATTTGAGCAGATCAGTTATCATAAATTGTTTGAAGTTATGGAAACAAAAAAAAAAAAAAAGACCAAGAGAGGTTATATAATTGCATAATCCAGCATATAACACATGTCGTTATAATGGTTTAGGTACTTCTAATTAATATACAAATAGTGTTTTCAAAAAAATATTATGTTGTGAAACTTTGTGTGACCGGGTGTGTATTTTATTGCCCCGAAAAAAATATGTAAAGTAAATTCGATCGTGTGATATGTATACTATTGCGAATTGGATAAACGCCCCTTTTAAAAAATCGAAACCGACGGGTTCGTGATTGATTTTGCCGTTGGCTAAAAGAATTAGAAGGAAAGTAACTGTAATCTGCAGATTTACAATAGTAATCGGTATTAAAATAGTGTTGGTCGTTGATTGACGATTCTTAACGAAGAAAGAAGCGATGTATCCTCACAAATATGTATGTACTACAATAACGTGAATTCGTCATGCTTTTCTTTTGGGTGAATTACTTAACGTGCTATTTATAATTCTATCAAGTTAATGAAATTACATGATGTAATGGATCTGCTTTGGTTGTTTGCTTTTGTAGTTTATTGTGAAACCTTACTAGGCATTAGCTCATTTCTTTTAACTTCATTTCCCTTACAGAGAAGGGGAAATAATTGAACTAAAGGAATCAATGCGATCTATGGACATGGCTTTCTTTTGTTTCTGTTTTTTTTTTTTTTTTTTTTGTTGGGCATAAAATAAGTTATATTTTACCACTTTGTAATAGTTGGACAGAACTATTATTTATAAATAAAACTTTTTTACCATTGTTTGTTCTTGATCAAATCACTCGAATGTAGCCCTGACGTGAGTAAGGCTGATGTCCTAGCTCGATCGCTCCACTAACAACGAGATGGTTAATGTTGGGGCATCACACAATATATAGGTCATATGATTAATCTGGATATTATGCCTCAATAATCTGTCTTTTGTCCATAATCTCCCCTCCTATGATAACTAAGTCACTGAATTATTAGCTCCATTTATCTGATTTTATTGTTAAGGGTAATTATAGGATATTTAAGTTTCACCTTTCTTATTTAGAAATGAAGAAATATCAAAACAAAACTCTATTGAGATAGTTAATGTTAAAAAAATCAAATAAAGGAATTTCTCATTTCATAGGGGTATAAAATGATGCTATTAGTATAAGCTAATAAATTGATTTTGGGGGAGTACATGTAAGTAATAAATTGATTTTCAAACTCCAAGCTAGTGGATTGGTGACTCTAAGCAACACTGAATTTCGTAATTCACTCTAATAAATCATAACAGAATCACGTGTATAAGTAATCATTTCAACTTCAGTATCAAAATGTTAGAAATTAGTCTCTCAGTTAAAATATAGTTGGATTTTTTTTTCCCCTGAAACGGAGAACATTAATATAATTCCTTTTGTCGTATATGCTAACATATAAAGCAATATTATTCGTAATTATTCGACGTCAGTAATAAATTGGTTTTGAATTTATCATTTATAACAGGATCATGTGTATAAATAATCATTTCAACTTCGGTATCAATCTTTTAGTTAAAATACATAGTTTTTTTTGGCCGGTGATATTGTTAGGGCAAAAATTAGCCTCCAGAACAAATAATACATGAGTTTCCAAGATTGCCCTTTTTTTTTTTTTTGATCAAATTCCAATTTCTCTCGGTTATATCCTTCCGCGGAGGTTACCTCTTAGAATTAGAAACATAGTCTTAGAAAACACTGAAATTGAACAGCATATGGGGGGATCTCTGGATGATGTTCAGGCCTAATGCATCCTGCTGTGCACTTCATCTCCGTAAAGAAGTTGTTTCTCTCAACAAAATGCCTAAAATGACACTTTTTCTCTACTTCCAGTAAAACAACATTTAGCAATGAAAAAGAAAACATTTAGGTCACTTATACTAGCATAACATTCCTATTTTTCCAAAATCGATTGGTTTTTTTCTTTTTTAATTTATTAAGGATGTCATTGCCCTTTGTGTTTATTTCCTTACTTCGCCTATGGTCTCAGATTTTTAGAGTCAACGTGATAAAAAAAATTTGTTCCCTTCAGACTTCGAAATTTTTCTTTGTGATGAACATCGGATTTAGTTATTTTCATATTTTAGTTGAAAAAATTAAGAACTAAAAGACGGTGGTGGTGTTTGTGAAATGCAAATTTCTCATCCGTGAAGGTAGAGGAGGAAGACGAGAATGGTGGTTTTTCTCATCGGCGTAGAAATTTTCGATCAGACTAAAATCAATACTCAAGGAAGTCAGATGAAAAAAAAATTGAAGTTTGAGCAAAAAAGGGTAGTCTTGAAAAGTCGTGTATTATTTCCTCTGGAAGCTAATTTTTACTCTGACAATATCACTATTTTTTTTTTTAAATGGAAACGGAGAATATTTATTTTATATATATTCTTTGACGTATAAGCTAACATTAAAAAGAAAAGAAGTAAAGGCATTAATGTGAAAAATGTTCTTTTATGTTTATTACGTTACACTCCTTGATAATAATAGTATAATACGTAAGATATCGACAACTTGATCGTATAAGTATAATAATTAATAATGATACAGCTAAATGAGCTATATTATTAACTAATTCCGACGTTAACTAAAGTTAAGGTAACCATAACGTTAAACAGCCTCCCCAACAGTTGGCGCCTGGTGGTTCTGATGTCATTACGGCTCAACCGCACCGAACCAGATGATGATGATGGTTCAATGTTGATAGCGCATGACCTCCATTTTAACCGCCACGTGTCCGTCAAACAGGTCAGTATTTCGGTCCACTTTGCACCAAACTTTTACCTTTTAACCGAACCGACTACACCAGCAAATTTCTATCTGTCAAAATATAAAATTTTTCTTAAGAAAAAGAAAAAAAACTATAAATACAATTATAGTTTCTAAGAATCAGATACAGATTATGAGAATTTAGATTGAAAATTAAAAAAAAAAAAAGAAAACAAAAAAGAGAACAAAATTAGCGGTTTCACATATATTTCTGTTTGCCTCACTTCTTCTCCTTCCTCGAGTGTGGTTCCCTGAGGAGCAAAGCAACTCATCGTTCCTTTATTATTCTTTCACTTTCTCTCTCTCCTCTTGGAACTCTCTCCCTCCTTCTCTTTTTCTCTATATACCACTCTCAGATTCTTCCCCTTCTTTGTTCACTTTGTTTAATTTAAGGTTAATTTTTGATTTGTTCTATCCAAATTCAAAAGAGGGATGGCGGCTTCCGAGAATTACACCGACAAGAACGCTATTTTTCGGAAGCTCAAGGCTAAGTCCGATAATAAGGTGATTTTTTTTTTTTCAATTTCCTGAACGAACTACTTTTTATTTATTTTTTATTTTTCGGAGTGGTATTCGGCTCATTCATGGTTGAATTTGATTGGGAGTTCTGAGATCTGATTTAGATCTGTGGTTTGAATTATGGATCTTTCGTTTTCATTCGGATGACTGTTTTGTTTTGCTCACCCTTTTTTTTGGTTTTCCGGCAGATGTGTTTCGATTGCAACGCTAAGAATCCCACCTGGGCGTCTGTCACGTATGGGATCTTCCTTTGTATTGATTGTTCCGCCGTTCACCGGAGTCTCGGCGTTCACATTAGCTTTGTTAGGTTTGTGCCCTTTTTTTTCGATGTTTAGTCTATTTTAACTTCCTTATTATTCCCTTTTTTTCCAGTGTGATCCATGGAAATTGGAAATGCCTCCTTACTCTTTGTTGTTATTTAAATGCTTGGGTCTATATGATGGTTGGTATCTTGATATGAAACGAGAACTAGTTAGTTTGTTTTATGTGATTTAACTTAATTGGAAAACTGTATCAAACAAATGTAACCTATTGAAAATCACAAAGTCGGATTTTGGATTTACCAAGTGAGCCTTTTTTCCATATATAAGTTCATTCCAGAATGATTTATTTTACAGTTGATTTGTGTTTCCTCTTACCATTTTAGAGTATGATTTTTATTTCTTAGTTGGCTTGTTACAAGGTAGAGTTGGTCAGATTTTGATTTCAGTCCGGGTATGTTACATTTTATGATATATGGATGGCTTATTGTTGCATCACTTCATCATTATCGTGAATAGGACCTATTTATTCGAAAACAGAGTTGGACAAAAGTATGTCAATTATTTGTTGTAAAATGCTGGTTTTGGGTTTTTGCTGGAGTTGGAAAGTTTAGTAATCCAAGTAATGTAAGTTTGAAAATAAAAAAGGATCTGAAGATTGAATAGGGTTTAATAAATACTTAGTATAGTTTCATGATGATACTGCCACACAGTCATGTCAGACTCTTCCTATTGACTGTAACTTTTTTAATGTATACCTTGCTCTTATCCTAGAAAGATAGATGTATAACATTATGATGGAGTAATTTCCTTTCAGTGGACTTCAACAAAGTGAATCAGTTGTTGAGGTTCATTGGATGTTTGAGGATTAATGTCAATGAATTACAACAGCCAAATTAGCTGCAATAAAAGTGGAAAAGTTTAGGTTGTGGGATTGGTAATTACCAGAGTTTTAATTAGACCTGATCACAACTGTAGAGCATCATCCAGTAGATTGTGTCTTATTTCCCTGCGTTAAAGTTTAGTGCTTGATCCGTAATTTTATGGCCATCTGGGATTTGATCCATTCACTTTCTTGTTTGTGGGAAATGCTTACCAATTATTTCTATTATTCATATCACTCTTATGTAATCCCCCCACCCACCGCGACTATGTGAAAAGATCTTACAAAATTTTTTCCGGTGCATCATAAGAAAGAGAATGCTAGAACTTTTGGAGACCACTTGAAACTTTGACCACTTTTCATAACTATTAATGTCACCTAGGTTGAGGATTTCTGATCCTCTTTCTGGTCCTTTTACTTGTGATTGACAGTAACTCAAATTCAACTCTTTCCATTTTGTTTTGCTATCCGATCTTGTTAGCTGTGGTTTTCTTCTGTGAAACAGTCTTTTATTTCTATTCTACTGTAGTCTTGCATTATGATTTAGTGCTGAAATCTGATCCTTATTGTAGGTCAACCAATTTAGATTCATGGTCTCCCGATCAGTTGAAAATGATGGCCTTCGGTGGAAATAACCGTGCTCAAGCTTTCTTCAAACAGCATGGTTGGACTGATGGGGGCAAAATTGAGGCCAAGTATACTTCTAGGGCTGCTGACTTGTACAGGCAACTGCTTGCCAAAGAAGTTGCTAAAAGTGCAGCTGATGAAGCTGGTTTGCCATCATCACCGGTGGCTTCTCAATCGGGATCAGCTGGTAACGGTTTCCAGGATGTTAAGGCTGCTGAAGCTCCGAATCGTAGCTCTTCTCTTAAGAGTGAAATTCCAGAGGCCTCGTCTTCCCCAAGAGCTTCGCAATCTGTTAGCACGACATTTAAGAAGCCTCTTGGTGCAAAAAAAACTGGAAAGACTGGGGGTCTTGGAGCTCGCAAGCTTACCACCAAGGTTTGAACATGTTGTTTCTCTAATGACGTTTCTTTGTTCCTTATAAACTATTTTTTGCTGCATTTTAAATAAAAATATCATGACGTTATTATTGGCGTAAAGAGATCTCACATTAATTTTCGAGTTCTTCAACGTGTTGCAGCCTAGTGAAAGTCTTTATGACCAGAAACCTGAAGAAGCACCTCCAGTTCAAGTTCCATCCTCCGACACCTCAAACGGCACACCAAAATCGTTTGCATCTCGTTTTGAGTTCTCAGACAATGTGCCACCTGCAGAAACGAGCACCGGGGGTACACGTATTCTTAATCATGTATCACCACCAAAGTCATCCAATTTCTTTGCTGAATATGGAATGGATAGTGGTTTCACGAAGAAGACCAGCTCAAATAATTCCAAAGTGCAGGTATTAAACTTTGTGATATTTGCAAAATCAATCTCAAATGTTGAGAAGACCCCCACCAGCACCAGCCCCCCTCTATGGGAAGTGTGGCTTCTCGTTCCTACTGCCTTTTCAGATTGCTTTTTTAATAGGGGAAATACATACATGTGTTAAAAGTGTGTGACACGAGTATATCTGATGCCTGAAAGGAAACCAATTTGGTCAACTGGATGCAAACAGAATTCCGCCATTTTGACTCATTTCTTTTTAATTGGTCTTCTTTATTTTATGCTACGGACCTCCACCAATGAAACCCCTGCCATCCCCTAGAAAAGGGGAAGAGGAAGTGCTTAAATGGTGATGGGGGTCCCCATTTGGTTAAACTATATGTGTTCTCAGTCATGGCTTGTCTTTTGTTTTAAAATGCTCAAGGACTTCGAAGTCTTGCATTTGACATTTGTCTCTCTATCAGGTTGAGGAAACTGATGAGGCAAGAAAGAAGTTTTCAAATGCTAAATCCATCTCTTCGGCCCAGTTTTTTGGTGATCAGTACAAATCAAATGACATTGGAAATTCAGTCTCTCTGCAGAAGTTCTCGGTGTGTTATCTTACTTTTCTTTCTGCTGCTTCTCAACCTTTTTTACTTAAATTATGAGTTTGGGTAGCTTGATTTAGTAATTGCATCTGGTCGAATTGGCAATGTAGATCATGCTTGATCATATTGTTTGTGAATTTCTTACGTTGCTTGTAATGCATCATTTCTCTTGCCCGACTTCTGTTTCGGTAGTTATGTTCTTGATCTACATGGTACTGGTGGCAGTCTGGCGGACTTAATAATTTGGGTGTATTCTTTCTGGCCTTGATACCAGTATCCGCCTTGGACCCTTTGTTGAGTTAATTATATTACACTTTTATAGTGTAAGACCAATGTAGAAAAAAGTGTAATAAAAATGTAAAATGGCAAAATGTTGATTTGGCATGTTATTATGCCCACAATGGTGTAAACCATTGTGGATGCTCTTAGCAGGAATAGAGATGTAAATGCCTCATTACTATATGATGTCGTTGCGATAAATATAATTTATCTTAGTGAAGCTGAATACAGCTTTTACATAATGTCAAGAATTATGACCTTCAGAAGTCTAATGCCTGGGCATGATACAAGGCATCAATGATCAAACACTTAAGAGAATTATTAGAAGAATGCCTGTAATATTTTGTTGATAATGGGGATGATCTTTACATTTTGGTTTATATTCGAGTACCAGTCCAGAGACTAAATAAATTTAGCTTTACTGACTTGAAAGCCTAGGACTTTGACTTTTAATTGAGCTGTTTCTTTTATCTATTTTCTTGATTAATTGCACTGCATGGTCTTTTTTGTTCAAATTCATATCCTTAAATCCAAATATTAAAGATACTTGGCACTTGAGTTGGGCAGTGCACATTATGCTTGAAGTTGAATGACATGGTCTTGTGTTCATTTTACCTTTTTATTCTTGCCTTTTTGGGGAGGGTGCTGGTAATAGCTTAAATCATACATAGAAATTGATTGCTGGATGAAACCTATGATGTGTTTTGTAGGGTTCAAGTGCCATTTCTAGTGCTGACCTCTTCGGCGACCGTGACAACTCTAATCTTGACGTCTCAGCAAGCGATCTTATCAATCGTTTATCTTTCCAGGTGAGAACCTGTTTTGTTTACGTTGCTTCTCGATTAGTATGGTTTGGGATTAATCCTTGCCTTTAGTGGTGACCTGGATGGGCTTGGATACGTTTTCCAGTATTGTTTGCACTTGTTTAATCTGAGATTGTTTTTGCCCATGCCTACTACAGGCACAACAGGATATCTCCTCTTTGAAGAACATTGCGGGAGAAACGGGGAAGAAGCTGAGCTCCTTGGCGTCCACTTTAATGTCGGATCTGCAAGACAGAATCCTCTGATAATGATGCATCATAATGTGTAAAATATTTTAGAGGATATTGTCACGGATATTGCAAAAGATTTAAATATTTTATGTAGATGTAAAAAAGGAATCTCAAATTTTTTTTCCGTCCGGAAAACCGAGATAACATTTACTTGTCCGTGCTTATGAAACCGAGACCATACTTTGCACTTGAGAATTGAGAATATCATGTAAGGAATTAGTATTTGCCACCTTGTAGTAGTCTTGGGACATTATGCCAATTTTCATACAGGTGATTTGTTTTGGAATGATTTGACGCAACTTGGATACAGTCCCTTTCTGCCCTATTAGGGCATAGCGCAAATTGTCTCATTTGTTAGTTAATAGTTTTTGTTATCAGTCAACATACCGCTTTTGTGCCGATTATAAAATTAGTAAAGCTTGTTTGTCATTTTTGTTATAAGCCAAATAAATATAGTTACAGTCTTGTAGACGCTTGTTTGAATTTTAAAACATGCGCCCAAGCTTCTAAAGCACGATTTATTAATGTTGTGGATTTTTTTTTTTTTTTTTAGTAGGTTAATTTCAAAAATAAAATACGATTTGAGAAGTGATGACAGAAACGTATGGGGAAACATTATCTGAAAGTGAAAGTACGTTTCAATCATTTTATTTTGGATATAATTACTCGAGTTAATATGGTAACATCAAAAATAAAAAATCAATCCTAAAATAGAAGGAAAAATTTGTTAATGATAACATAAAATTCAGAACGTTATTTTTAGATTTAAATTTTATACCGGAGATATTAAGATAAAATCTCCAAGTAATAATGTTAGGGATATATTTTTAGGTTTATTATGGTAAGTGAGTAAGTAGAAGTATATAATTAATGTAATTGAATTTACCAAAATTCATTTATTTTCATGGTGTCCTAATTTAACTTTTCCTCTCTCGTCTCGTCTCGTCTCCGTCATCATCCTCTCCTCCTCCACTCCCCTGCACCCTCCCCCCAAAACCCCACCATTATAGCTCATTTCTAGAGTCTTCTTCACATTTCTTTCTCTCTTTCTCTCTCTCTCACACACACACACACTTCTCTCTCTCTCTCTCTCTCTAAAATAAAAGCTCCAAATTCTTTTGTCTCATCTTCTTTCTCGACGAAAAGAAAACTTACTGAAAACTTTGGCGGCCATTTCGTTCCCTCCCTTTTCAAAACCCTCCAATCATCATCATTCCCATCACAGAAAATGAGAAAAATATCCCATAATCTAATCCAGTAATCTTTCCCCCCCTATCTTGACTGAATTCCTCAAAGGCCCTCCTTTTTTTATTTACACTTTTTAAATTAATCGGCCCCAATTTTTTCCCTGCCCTTTTCCCTCCATTCCCCCAAAATTTTCATTTCCCCCCTTTTCCAAAAACCCTAAAATTTTTTGATTGATTTCGTTTCCCTCCTAATTCATTTCCCCCAAGAAATTTCCCGACTGTATAATTTCATGATCTGATCTGATGGAAGAAGCTCATCAACCCAAACCCTTACAAACTCACTCTCCCTGGCAGCTTAATTCTCTTGATTCCACTCGAGTTTCTGGTTCTGATTCTGGGTCCTCTGTTTTAATCGACAAAACCCTAAGCTCGTCGGAGGACTTTGACGAGAATTTGTCTCCGGTGAGCGAAGAAACTGTGCCGTACCACGATCCCTCCGATTGTGGTACCGTTCCTGCGGATTCCGACGGCAGGGATGACGATGACGATGAGGAAGAAGAGGAGATTGAGGAGGACTATTACTTGAATTATTGTCCACCACTTCACACTGCTTATTCTTCCTGCCATTGGGCTGAGCCTTGGAACTATTCGAGTTATCTAAGGTCTTCGTGGTCTCCTTGGTCTCCGTCTCCGTGTTCTCGGTTGGGTCTTGGAAGCATGGACGATAGTAGATCCTCTGAGGATGATTCTGCTTTGACCGGTTGGAGGTCTAGTACAGAGTTGGAAATGAAGACCCCTTTTTCTAGTTTGGTCATTGAACAGAAGCCTTCTATAATGGTATGGATATTTTCCGTCCCACTGGAAACATTCTATATGCATATATGCTCTTTTTTTTTTCTTTCTCTAAATTGGTGAGTTAGTTAGGCATCAGGGTTTAACTTTTTGGCTTTTGAATTCTGTTATGAGTTTAGAGCTTTTGAACCTAGGCAGTTCTTCAATTACATTTCTTTCCTTTTAGGTACTACATTCTATAACCCATGGTTTTAATGATAATACTTGTAAACAGTTGGTTTTCCTGAGCGCCTTCAGGCCCTGTAGTAGAGCAGGGATGATATGATGTAGATTTTAGTTGGGCTTGAATAATGTATTGTGTGCTTGACGCATGTAGGGCGCTGGGCTTGCAAACATGGGTAATACTTGCTTTCTCAATGTGATTCTGCAATGTTTCACTCACACCGTGCCCCTACTTCAAGGACTTCTTGAACGCACTCATAAGGTGCCCTGTGAACGTAAGTTGATGATTTTCGCTTGATGCTGTGTTTCTTTGGTTTACTTTGGATGAGGTGTGTTACAGATGTTTTCCCTTTTCTTCTTGAAGACAAGTCAATACTTACTTGCCTATTTCCATTATGTAATTATGACCGTATTTTCTGTTTGCAGGTTTCTGTGAAGGTTTCTGCGTGTTCTGTAATCTATTTGACCATATTGAAAGGGCGTTGAGGAATCCAGGAGGAATTATATCTCCTTACAAGTTTGTTAACAATTTGAACTGTATCCTTCTATTATTATCTTGATTTACATCATGTTATACTATTTAAATTTCAGTGACAGTTGTAGCCAAATGTGTTTATAAGTCATTCCCATTTTTGGGCTGACTTTAGAGTCTTTCATTTACTTGTATGATCAAATTATTGTGAAGATGTGTGTGTTGCTTAGATTTTTTGCTAGCGGTCGCCTATCTAGTTCTTGAACTGCATTGTACAGTCTCAGCTCTTTGCCTATAAATATTGTTACCCTTAATTGTTATTACCAGACTTCTCATCTAGTTTCCGAAGATATCAGCAAGAAGATGCTCACGAATTCCTACAATGCTTTTTGGATAAACTTGAGAGTTGTGATACTTATTCCAAGCCTCCTGAGAGTGACGACATTGTAAAAATGGTCTTTGGTGGCCGTCTTGTTAGCCAAGTAAGATTAACTACTTGATGTAAACCATGATGTGACAATTTTCTTGTGTTTTTGGACTGTCCTCATGTTATATTGTAATACATTCTAATTACTGCCATCACCATTCATGGAACTAGTTGAAGGAATGCCTTACTCTAATGCTTGAGACTTGGCAATTGCAGCTGCGATGTTGCAACTGTGGCCATCGCTCAGACACATATGAGCCTTTTGTAAACATTAGTTTGGAGATTGATGAAGTGAGCACTCTCTCTACTGCTCTGAAGTCATTCACAAAGGTTGAGAAGCTCGAAGCTCCTGAGACAAAATTCATATGTGATCATTGCAAGGAGCAGGTGTCAGTTGAGAAGCAACTTATGTTGGATCAGGCCCCATCAGTTGCCACATTCCAATTGAAGAGATTTAAAAACGATGGTTCTTTTGTAGAAAAGATTGATAATCATGTGGCTTTCCCTTTGGAATTGGATTTGCAGCCTTATGCCGCTGATAATCAAAGTGATAAGGTAAACCATCTATTATGCATGTGGTATAATTATATAGGCATATACTTTCTTGTGTGGATGGAACATTGTTCAGCTGTAATTTTTGCAATGTCTGATGCTTGTTAACATTGTCTAGTTACATAGAATACTTTAGTGTAGCCTAAGTTTTGTGGAAATGTTTTCTGGTAAATTTGATTATGGGTTCTAATAAAATTATGTAGGTTATGATCTGTGTGATTTTTGGAGTATTAAACTACTATTGTATGTTCAATTTGTGTAATTGTTGCGATTATTAGTGCTTGACTATGGATGATTTGTAAACCAAGCATTGAGGAAACAACTTCGATGCAAGGCTTGCAAGTGCTTAAATGCATGGGTGATCCACTTTTTTATTTATGGAATTCAGTACCCTGAGGCTCGGGTAAAAGACGCTTTTTGTTTTTTTTTTTAGTTGTCAAAACAAATAATAGAATTGGCCACATGGATCTTTTTTTTGTTCTCTTTTTTTCCCTCCTGGGGTAATGTTTTAAACCCATTTCAGCAGGTGGAGATGACGTATGATCTGTATGCAGTGGTGGTGCATACTGGATTTTCATCTACTTCTGGGCATTATTTTTGTTTTGTTCGTGCTTCTCCTGATGAATGGTACAGATTTGATGATTCCAAGGTAATAATTTTGTATATATGCTTAAGCGGATATTGCTTGTAACGTTCTAGGTTAAGGAGCAGTCTTTGGTATGTTGAACTTTTGTTGGAGTTGTTAATGTGGATTGAATTGGAATTTATTTTGCATTTAATAGGTATATGTGGCTGAACAAGAACAGGTATTGGAGCAGGAGGCGTACATCCTTTTTTATGTGAAGCAGGGAACGCCTTGTTTTTCAAGTTTTGTTGAAACGCATAAGAAACTGATGGAGTTGGGTGTTTTAAACACTTCACCTAAGTCTGTATTAGATATTCTGGATGATTGTAAATCTCCTGATCTGCAACGTAGTTGCCATTTTGATGGCAAAGAAGTTGCAGTGGAAGAAGAGACTCCTGGAGGAAGGGACTCCAGGGTGGTGGATGATAGTGACGAAGCTGATAACTCCATATCTACTGTCCCTTTAGTTTCCTGTAATTCCTCTGTTATGGCCTCACATGATATCAGTGAATCAGCTTTTGTTTCCTGTGTCAACAACTCTTCTGATGTGCATTCTTGCAAAGCTGGCGAATCAAATTCGCCTGTGGCTAATCACCCTGATGTTCCTTGTGAAGTTAACACATCAAGTTCTCTACCTGTACTCAGAGAAAGTGACTCTGGCCAGGAGCCTCCTGAATTGGGAAATACTGCTGCGCTACCTTCTATACCTCTTAGATCTTCTAGCCCAGAAATATATAGGGAAGATCCATCTGGTAAGTTTTGGAAGTTCAAGTCCTCGATCTTTTCTTAAATAAGAGTTCTTGTAAATGTAAGCAGTTAACACCTTTACCTGTGTTTTATATTCAGAAAAAAGTTTCACCCTACCCCGGGGGCATTTGAGATTGATGGGCGGTGTTTCTTGCAAAAGACAGTTGAACAAGGAACTGGAAGAAGGGAGAAAGCAAGCTGTTACAATCGTGAAAAGGAACATAGTTGGTGGATCTAGAAAAAAGCAGCTCACGGCAGCAATTTGTGCAACTTCAAGTGAAGTTTCAGCCAGCAAGAAAAGAAGTAGAGGAACGCACATGCCCGCTGGTAGTGATGATAGAAGTTCAGCTAGTCGTCGAAGAGGAAATATGCCTGTCCTTGCTAGCAGTCTCAGGTGAATCTTTCTAGGTTTGGTATATATTTATTAGAATATCGTCGGATGAAGAATGGATAGAAACTTGGTGAAGGATGTAGTATTTAGATTTGAAACATTACCTTCTGAGAAATTGAGGTCACAGTTTTTGGTTAGTTTATGTTTATAAGTTCCAAGTTATGTAAAGTGCGGTTATGTTTTACTAGGTATTTCATGAGTTAATTACAGTTTGCATACGTTTCTGAGTTTTAGAAGTTTCAAACCACGAGTTGAATTGAAACCTCAAATGTTCTTTCGTCCCATACTTTACTGATAAGCTCAATGATGGAAATCAATAAATCTCGTCTTAACTGCTTTCTTTGTTTCCCTTGGCTCTTTGTTCCCATTGTTTATATTCATTCACTGTTTCAAATGTTTGTAATGCCTTTTTTCTGTTCCTGTTCTTAGCTTGTCGATGTAAACTTTGGTTTTCCATTCTCTTCTGTCTGTTCCTGTTCTTCCTCTAAGCCGTATGAATTGAAAAAAAAAAAATTCACTCTAGTGGACTCCACTTAAATGTGGATATTCTTTTACAATCTATAATGGGAATGGGAATCGAACCCTGGTTTATCACTAAGAAGACAGTAACTTAATCACTAAATTGTCATTCATTAGGTGCCGCGGTACGAAGATTTGATTCCACAGTATTAACCAATTTATCCTTTATCAGCAACTCTTCAAGACTATGTCTAGACAAGTTTCCCCGCCGCATCTTTTCATCTCTGGTAAACACAACTAGCAACATGTGACCTCAAATTAAGTTCCCAACAAAAAACGATCACATCAAAGCACAAAAATGTCAAAACCCAAGGCAATGGGGACTATCGATATTGTCATAAAATGCCACAACAGCAGCATAGTTGACATAGAGCAATACTAAGTGATGATCTTTGTTTCTATCAAAAACAATTTTGAATCTTACACCCCATTGGTTCTGCTTTCTATATAAACCTTCCAAGGTCTTCTTAGTAGAGCCCTTTGCCTTTCGTATTTTCCCCCATTTCACTTCAAAAAAAGATCGCGCCAGACTAATGGCCGATATCATTAGTATTATAGAGGGAGAAAACACCCAAACACCTTCTCCCATTTCCTCCTCCCAATGGAGGAGGACATTAGCTATTGATCATTACCAGGAATATTCACCTGCAGGGCCATCCCAGATTCACAAGCAGGTGGTTGTAGTAATGGATGGGCTCAGAGAATTTTCTTGGGAGCCCTTAGAGTGGGTACTCAAGAATGTTGCTGATGGAGGAGGTTCTTCTTCTTGCAAAGTTACTCTTCTTGGAGTTAAGCCATGGCTTAACATACCTCGTACGTCTGCAAATTTTTCTTTTCTTTTCTTTTTTTATTTACTATTTTTTTTTTATATCACAATGGAGGTGTTTATCAAAACTCCTGCCGTTTCAAAATTATTTTTCATTTTGGATTTATAATTTTAGTTTAATTTATATTGAAAATGAAAATCTAAGTTGGACAATAATCTTGGGAGAGAGTATTTGTTTTGTATCTACCAAAAACAAAAAGAAAAAGAAAAGAGAAACATATTTGTTCACATGCATCTTCATCTTTCTTATACTGGCTTTGTTTAGAACTTTTAGATTGATTGGAAATTCTCCGTGACTGAGTCTCCTTTTATGTTATTTATAGTGTTTTCTAAGACTTCGTCGGATTTTTGGAGCATCGACTTGGACGAGTTGTCCTTGATAAGAGAATTGAGGAACGATGCTAACTATCACATAGTTCGAGTGCTTCTGGACATTTGCCAGCACTATGGGGTACGTACGTATATCATTTACCTCGTTAGAACCGCAAAATGTTATTCTCAGTTACATTTTAACAAAATATAACATACCTTCCCAAAATTATTGTTTAATTTAAATTTTTATTTTTAGTTTAAATCAAAATTTAAACTGAACAATAATAATAGAATGAGGGAAATACTTGTTGGATTAAACCAAAGTATAGTAAAACCTCTATAAATTAATACACTTAGACTTTCAAAAATTTATTAATTTCTCGAATTATTAATTTATAGATAAATTAGTATTTTATTAATTCAAAGAGTTTTTTCAATCCTATAAGTAAGAAAGTACAAAATTTATTATTTTTATATCAACAAAAGTCCGTTGCAGCTCTAACTATAACATTATAATTTTTTTTAAGGAACAAAAATATGATAATTGTAAATATAAATAAAAATACTTAAGTTAAGATTTAAGTTAATATTCAAATATAATTTATTATTATTATTATTATTATTATTATTATTATTATTATTATTATTATTATTTTTTGTGTAACGCCGGAAACTACCAGAGATGGATAACCCACGCCCATTGCAATAGCCTGCAAACCACAGTAGAAGGTAAACCACCCTAAGCAAGCCTGGGGGTAAGCCTGGGGTGACAAGGTTGGGTGCGAAATCGAGGGTTCATGAGTGGGTTTGCCATAACAAACCCTCTAGAGGAAATGAGTGGGGTTTGAACTCATGATCTCCTCTTGAGATCAAGTGTGATTTTACTACTAAACCAACACCTCATTCACATAATTTATACCTATTATTTTAGGTATTTATTTATTTATAAAATTTTTGGGGACCTATATTTACATATATTAGATTTTTTTAAAATTTATTTTATTATAAATTAATCGAATTTTTTCATCTTTTTATTGGTCTAGAGTTGAGACCGAAGAAAAATATTATTTAATAGAGATTATTAATTAATACAAGATTAATTTATGAAAGTTTAATGTAGTAAATAATTAATAAAATGATAAGGAAAAAGTATACCTTTTATAACCAAGAAATATTCTCAAATATTCGTCGATTTCTTCACCCGATAATATTGATGGAATAACAGGTTGTTCTGGAAATCAGAACTGAGATGGGGCACCCATTACATTTGCTCGTGCTTGAGGCAATCAGCAGTCTTCATGCGACACTCGTTGTATTCGATAGGTAAATTCCGCAAAATGTATTAACCCACAGGTACCTTAGTTTGATATTACAGTTTTCTTCTTTGTTTCTTGTTTTCAAAAAATTTTACTCCTTCCGTTACAAAATAATAAGCATATTATTACGTAGTATTAAAATCATTTTCCAACTAAGAGAGTTACATCAGTTATCAGCTTTTAGGTATCCTTTTGATTAAATATAATCAGCTTCAAGAGTCAGAAATGGACGGGTATGGGTGACTCATGATAGACCTGAATTAGACTCTCCCACAGAATTGTTCTTGATTAGAAACTGTAGTCAAAATTTGATTACTCGTTTTGAAACACTTAAGCAAATTTTTCAAAGTTACATTAATTCTTCTAGTCCCATAATAATTATTCAGTTTTAATTTTTTTATTTTTGTCACAAATTGTAATAAAAATAAACAACTACAATGAAAATCCAAACTCACAAAAATTTTGCTATGTTGTTACACCAAACTAGACAGGGCGGCCGAACTGAGAAACGGAGACCTATTCAATCCGGTTTATACATAAAAAAAAAAAAAACTAGTTTAATTTAAAACGGGCCAAACCCGTATAGTCATTTTTTTTTTTTTGTTTTGTTTTGGATAATGTCGGGAGCTCATCAGAGATGAGTAAATCAACACTCGTTGCAACAATTTGCAAATCAGAGTGTGAGGTAAACCATTTTACAAAAGTCTAAAATGGCAACTTCGGGTTCGAAATTAAAAATTTATGTAACGGTTTTTATTTGAAGACCTATAGCACAGGTCAATCTAGCAGCCCAACTAGGTTACCATTTCGTCTTCTGATCCGGTTATCATCAAACATAGTACTTTTTGGATAAAGGGGTTGTTTCAAATATAGTGAAGGGGGGATACTGATAAACTTCATTGCGTTTTTCAACAGGCACCATGACAGGAAGTATATAGAATTCTATGCTGAAAAAGTACCATGCAACATGGTGAAGATGAGAGAAGATGGCCAAGTGGAAGCGATCAAAATACGAAGAGTTCAAAGCGCGGATTCTACTCCAAGAAACGATGCTTCTTCCGTCAATGTGGTGGCGCCGAGCTCAAGATCGGCTATATTTTCGGAGAAAATCAAGAAACTTTTGAAGCAAAAACACGATAAGAGAGGGAGATTAGGCCGGAACCTGCAGGACGGCGACGAGGATGATGGCACCTCCGTCGTCCAACGTGTGGTTTCCAAATCGAAATCCGTGATACTCACCGGACAAATCAAGAAACTTCTCAAACGCAAGTACGAGAGTTTTGGTAAGAAGAACAACGAAACTGCTGCCTTTAGTATGTGTTTGAACGGCATAAAGGATTAAATACTACTACTAAAAGAAAATATTAGGGTGTTTCTTACTTTATTGTTCCACTTTGCTTTTGTCTCTTATGCTGAAAATTTCAAACTAGTTTTTAAACTTCATCTTACCCAATTGTTTTTCTGGTAAGATGATGATGTGAAGTTTATACAAAGAAAACTTGACGGTAGACGGGAAAAAAAAAGCTATTTTAAAATGTTTTCAAAATAAGAGACAAATAGTAGATTGCAACGACAAAATGAGAAACTATATCTAAGTAATTTGTGTGATAATACTAATCAAGTTTACCAGTTATTCAATTTGGTAAATCAAGTGATCCGTAAGAAACTTGGGCTAAAGCTAGGGCATTCTAAGCCGACGGGAGAATCCAGGACTGAGCTAAGTTAGACCCAGTGAATGCAGCATCATCAAGTATATTTGTTTCTAGTCTTGGGAATTTTGTTATGTGTTGGTTTTACGAGTGTGTAAAGAGGCTACTTCCTTCTTTGTTATACAAAGAAAAATAAGATTCTTTACTCATAATTATTTTGTACTGTCCCTTATATAAATTATTAAGTAGACAACACATAATTGTATTGATACCCAAAATTTGTACAATTTTCTTTCATGTAAATTGACTGAAGGTCGTTTCATTTACGGGAATACGTCAGATATTATATGATTTTTTGCTTGCAAAATTTTCTTCGTCATTTTTTCCGGAACGAACATGTTGTCATTTCGAGTGCTTTTCGAGCGGATAACCTGTCCAATAAGTCCTTGTCCAATTTGAGGAGATCCTTAGTATATAATACTTATAATACAACATCACACTTTTCAAAAATATGAGCACAGCCAGTTTCTTGGATATGATATTTGCTTTCTTTTTGTGATTACTGGATGTCGGCAGCTTAGCATAAATGTTATTTCATGCGATCCATACACTTTCCATTCCAAAAATTAATTCATATTATTATACTGTTTTATCATAACAAAACTAATTACTATATTTTGGGATGAAAGAAGAACATAAAAATCGACAAACAGCTATAATTTAACGCTGGAGAGATGATCACACATCACAAGTTACCGGTTAACCAGGGGTAAGGAATTGGATACCAAGCAATAGCCAACTTCTAGTAATTAGAACAAAGCAATATTACATAATATATATTGATAAAGGATACAAAGATACATATATTAGTCGGACCAACAAAAGTTATACCCTCCGATAGGGCAACCACATGATTATTGAGAGAAACACATATTGACTCCAAGTGAAACTCATGATGAAATACGGAACCAAGAGTTCTTCTCAGTAGATCGCAGTTTTACATGTATATTCCCTTTGATTCCAATTATAAATCACATATTTGAACTGAATTTAGTATTAATTTATGCCTTAATTTAAGACCAGAGAAAGTATATGAAAGGTTTCAAATAAATATTATAAGATTTGATTGATCACTAGTGGTGGTTATTCCTTTGATATAAACTATATCAAGGGGAATAACCAGCAGCACGATTTCCTACACTACCTCCTGCACCACCGCCATCACCTCCTTTTTCGCCTCTTGCACCTCGGCAGTTACCACCTCCCTCTCCGCCCCCATCACCTCCCTTTCCGCCTACTCCTCCTTCACCTCCATTTCCGCCTCCTTCGCCTCCGCCATAACTACCATGACCTCCACCACCTAATTTTCCGCCTCCATCACCTCCGCCATTCTCACCACCACCTCCCTTTCCGCCTCCTTCACCTCCGCCATTTTCACCACTACCTCCCTCTCCTCCTTCACCTCCGCCATAAGTACCATGACCTCCACCACTTCCCTTTCCGCCTCCTTCACCTCCACCATTTTCACCACCACTTCCCTCTCCTCCTTCACCTCCGCCAGAACCACCGCCACCTCCCTCTCCTCCTTCACCTCCGCCATAACCACCGCCACCTCCCATTCCATAACCACTACCACCAACCCCCATTCCATAACCACCACCACCTCCCTCTCCGCCTTCCCGTCCTCCTCCACCTCCGCCATAACCACCGCCACCTCCCATTCCATAACCACCACCACCACCTCCCTCTCCGCCTTCCCCTCCTCCTCCACCTCCGCCATAACCACCGCCGCCTCCCCATCCACCACCCTTTCCATAACCACCATTGCCGCCACCTATTCCGACTCCAACACCACCTCCATGTCCGAACCTTTCACCACCTCCAACCTTGAGGAGTGACCTACATTCAACACCAATGCTGATTCCTAAAACAACAAGAAAAAGAAAGCTTAAAACCTTCCGGTTAGCCATAGTGGAAGTTTAAAACAAGAAAAGAAAGAAAATCTGCGAGCCCCTTAATTGTCCGGAATGCAAAGAACGGGAGGGTATTTATAGGGGGATTTAGGAGGGACTTTTTTTATTGGAAATAACAGTGTAACGTAGAAAAAATTAGAGGACTGGTTGGAGAAGGCAAAAAATGGCAAAAAAAAAAAGGACCCTTTGAAGAATGCACATGCAAAGCAATAAAGGGGTCGTGCCCACAGCTTTGAGTTTGCAAATTTGGCCCAGAAAGCTACCCACAATTACTGATTTTTCAATTAAATCGTAGAATTTTGGGTGAATGAGATTAATAACCTTGGAAACACCAATTATAGACTGAAATGGTGCTCTGATTTTTTTTTAGAAGTAAATATCCTTCTCGCAATCCAGGTATGCGGAACTCCTAAAAAAATTAATTAGTAATACCGAACAGGTAGTATGCAGTTTTAGTAAATTATGGTAAAAGAATAAAAAAAAATTGCCGGAATGAATTGGTCAAAAAATTCAGAAGTCAAAATTAGATAGAAGTTAAATCTGCATAGAAAGAATGCGGTTGTAACTATTTAATTTTTTTTTTAAAAAATTAATTTTGAACAAAAGAAACAGACCAAAAAAATTTAAAAAATCAAACTGAAATTTAAAAAAATCTGGTGTGGATTTCAGTCGTGGAGGGGGAGGTGCTGGTTGGATTTAGACAAATCCGGTGACCTTGATGTCGCCGGATAATATGGGTTCCGGGAGAGGTGGGGGCAGTCTTGGGGTGTGGGTTTATGTCGGGAAGGAGTGGGGGTGGCGTTGGGGTTATTTTTTTTTTTTAACTAATGGGTAATAAAAATGAAACAACCAGATTGAGCCACGTGACTCAATCCGTTCTATTGAAGTCTTTAAATAATGTTGTCTAAATAAAACGTCAAACTGAAATTAAAAAAATGAGAAAGTCAAAACCGCATAGCCTTCATGTGGTTTTCAGAATTTAATATTAAAAAATAATGTTGTTCGAATTACTTAGGTAAATTTTTTTACAACAAATTTTTTGTTGTCAAAATTTATTAGCTTGATAATTTATTGCATTTTTGTGAAGTGTTTTCATTTTGTAGATGTGAAGGTGATATAAGTAAATTTAATTAAATTAGACAGTTGAATAGAACATTTAAATTAGCGAAATTTGATATTATTTTGAATTGAAATTATGTCTTCGAATGGAGTATGCCAAGTAGAAACATGATTATCAATTAAATTGATGAACGTGAACATTATTTTGCAAAATCTTGCAATTAAATACATAAGAGAATAATAACTTTGATCAATAATAGATTTCGTTTAAGTCAAACTAAGTAGTAATATCTAAAAAGAACAAATTCGATCAATAACAGATTATGTTTATGTTAGACTAAGTAGTATATATTGTAGAAGTAGTAAATATGTAAAAATAACAAGTTTGATCATACTCTATTTAAGTCAAATTAAGTAGTACATAAGTAAATATACCAAATTTGATTAGTAATAGAATTTGTTTAAGTCAAACTAAGTAGTATATATATAAAAGTAGCAAATTTGATCAATAACAGATTGTACTTAAGACAAACTAAGTAGTACATATGTTAAAAAAATAAGTTTGATCAATAAAAGATTTTGTTGAAGTAATACTAAGTAGTTACATATATAAAAAGATCAAATTTGGTCAATAATTGATGCCGTTTAGGTCAAACTGAGTAGTATAGTGTTGAATTACTGTTATTAATGTTACTATTCACACTATTTTTTTGAAATAATTTTCATTTGATGTTCACTGACACTAAAATGAAACGTTTTTTCAGGACCGAGGGAGTACAAATTCAACATTGTGTAAAATGCCATACTATTTGGGTTAAAATTGAAATAGAAATTTTTTTTATTAAGGGTGTAAATGAAAAAATTTTCATTAGCACATGGTTCAAATAAGAAAATAAGTTAAAGTGTGCCATTTTTATAAATATTAGGGTGTCTATTTTGTAATCTAATAGGGGCATCCTAGAATTTAGCCATTTTAATATGTCAAAACTTAAAAAGGTCAAACTACAAAAATTATTAAATTTACTATACGCCCGGGATCCGGGATCCGGTCCGGTTCTCCTCCGAAAATTGTCAAGCCACTTTCCTCGATTTTTTCCGACGACAGGGGGGGCGAACGTCTTCGATGCGGGAGCCGGCTAAAGGTACACAATTTATATTAATAGGCATAATCCGGCAATGGGTTAGTGTGGGTTAGGGTCATGGTCACGCGGATTGAAACCGGCGACCTTCGTTTCATGTTTTTCTTTCTCTTTTTTTTTTCCCCGGCGACAAGGGGTGGGTTCGGCGTCCGACGACGAGGGGGGGTGGGTTAGGGTGATGGTGGATTGATCTGGTGTGGGTTTCAGTCACGGAGGGGGTGACGGTTGGATTTGGCGGACAAATCCGGCGACCTTGATGTCGCCGGATGATATGGGTTCCAAGAAGGTTGGGAGGCATTCCTGGGGTGTGGGTTTCAGTCCGGGAGGGGTGAATTTAGACGAAGGAGGAGAAAATAATTATGGGCAAACTACATTTTACCCCTCGAGTTTTGGACCCATCACCGTTCCCCTCGAGTTTTACTAGTGCTACAATTTGCCCCCTTGACAGGGTTAAATATAGAGTCAACGCCGGTAATCGGTTAAATGGCCAAAAAACCATAGCAACTTACCGGCAAGAAAAAATAGGGAAAAAGAAAATTGTGGTAGAAATTAAAAGACTTAAAATATCCAGTTGCTGTGCGCAGGGCCCATCTTCATCTCTTCTCCTTTCCATTGGCGGCTGGGAGCAATGACCGGCGAAGATCGACAGCCCCCAAACGGACATTAAGCTTCATGCTGAAGCTAGATTTTTGCTCCATAGTTGTTCAATTGTTCCGAATTCCTATTCTTTCGATTCCAGACATCAATCAGTCAGACATAAACAATATCACACACTCAAGAATTGGCTCTCTGTTTTCTATCCACTTTCTTTACCCCCAAATTTTCACCAAACCGTCTTTTAGGCATCTTTCCGATCCTCCTTGCGCAAGTTTTCAAATTGAAAAAGGGTGACCGGCACACAAATTAAATGGGTTGGTTTCCTTTGTCTGCCAATCTCAAGATTTAGGTTTTATTTGTGTGGCGTAAATTAAGAATTTTCTCCCAATTTAGAGAATTTGGTTTCTATCGAATGATTTGAATTGGTCCTCAACCGGATATATCTCTGCAATTGAAAGTTCTGATGATTTTGGGGCTTTCTAATGCTCTTCGTAGTTTGGGTTTCTCAAAAATTTTGGTTTCAAGAATGAACATTGTTAGTTATCATCTGTTATTATCATCTGTCATTAATTTCTTCCACAATTTGTCATTTAATGTGGTGATGTTTCAAGACTGGTGGTGCCAAATGCCGAGCATTTCAGTGGCAGCGATCGCAAAATAAAGAATGACATTCATCTATTGAGAGAATGATAAGAATTTTTAAGAAAAACACTAAAAAGAAAATGATGCAGATGATATATGATAAGTTTGAGCAACAATAAGAATAAAGGACACAGAAAAATACAAACAGGAAAGAAAAATTAATTAAAATGGTTCCATTTCCGTTTTTGAAGCTAGAAAAACTATGTCTTGTATTTTTATTTTTTTTTTGAATAGTGAAGAACTAAACTATGGCTCTGGATGAGAATTTTTTTTTAAAAATGGTTTTGGATGAGAATGACATTTTTCTGATGATGGAAAAAAAAAACTTGAAAAATTTGTCAATCCACTCAAATTATAAAAAGAGCATGAAATGGCGTTAATTTTTTGAGAAACTAAATTGGTATTATTAGAACGGGAGTTATATTTTTGATATGTGATATAATGGATATGGAATTATGGGTCACTTTGAACAAGGGTATTTTTGTCTATTCGAAATTAAATTTTGATGGTGTCAGCATTGTGCATCACTTTTCCGGCAAGCAGGGGGTATATTGTAGATTGACCATGGTTCAAGGGGGGGAATTGTAGTACTAGTAAAACTCGAGGGGGAAACGGTGATGCATCCATAAATGGGGGGTTGGAGGTGCAATTTCACTCGGGCCGACAACTATTCATGGGTCCGATAATATTTCTTTATGGTTTATTGGGCCGGCTAAAGCTCTAACAATGGCCCAAGCCCATCATTGAGAGGAATATTCTCAAGGAATATGCCCCCCCATCTTATCTATATATACCTCATTTTTGGTGGTTGAGAGTAAGCTCTTCCTCCTACTCCTTCTTGGCTCACATTTTATACATTCACTCTTGACACTGACTTGCTCATCGGAGTGCTAACCATTGTTTTGCAGGTCTCAGGTCCACAGACACCATTGACCCTCGTCTAACGGATTTCACCCTCGACAAGTGGCGCCGACTGTGGGGATCGCTTTGCGTTCCTGATTGAAGGTGAATCTTGAGTTCTGGATGTCTATGGATCTGACCAATAAGGGTTTTGAGCTTTGAAATGGTAGCCTCGGCAATAAGCCACATCCTGCTTTCATCTCAGTTCGAAGACACCATTTCAGTCCGAGGATGCCCAAATGTCCGAGGACGCCTCTATGTCCAAGGACGCCATTTCAATCCGAGGATGCCCACAGGTCCGAGGACGCCTCTATGTCCGAGGACGCCCACATGTCCGAGGACGCCCCTATCTCCGAAGACACCATTTCAGTCCGGGGACGCCCGCATGTCCGAGGACGCCCACATGTCCGAGGACGCCATCTCAGTCCGAGAACGCCATTTCAGTCCGAGAACGCCCATATGTCCGAGGATGCCTCTATGTCCGAGGACGTCATCTCAATCCGAGGACGCCATTTCAGTCCGAGGACGCCTTTATGTCCAAGGACGCCCCTATGTCCGAAGACACCATTTCAGTCCGAGGGCGCCATCTCAGTCCGAGGACGCCACTATGTCCAAGGACGCCCCTATGTCCGAAGACACCATTTCAGTCCGAGAACGCCCACATGTCCGACGACGCCTCTGTGTCCGAAGACACCATCTCAGTCCGAGAATGCCATTTCACCCCGAGGACACCCACATGTCCAAGGACGTCCACATGTCCAAGGACGCCTCCATGTCTGAAAACGCCCATCTCAGCCTGAGAACGCCAACATGTCCGAG